ACAGTCATTTGCATCCAGTACTCTAATTGTTCGATGAGCTTTCTCAAAGTTTCAGAGCTTGGGGGTGGAGCAGTCAGCGGATAAATGAAGCAATTCTCATGATCAGCGCGAGCAGAGGTGTGCGCAGCTTCAGATGATAACTTTTTGGTCGTATTCGGCACTGAACCTGAGGTAGCTGGTTCCTGCTCATCTGTTGTCGTTCCAAGATCTGGAGGAGCAGCCGGAGGTGCTATAGCCTCTTTGTTCTCGGGAAGTCTACCAGGTGCAGACTTCATCGCGTCCCCCATCAATTTAGCCCTCTTGGAGTTCTTGGCGGGGACGGCCTTTCTCTTGCGAGTTCTCCTGTCGTATTCACCTTCCTCTGTCGCAGTAAGGGCCCTCTTCCCCGATCTCAAAGAACGAAGTTCAGGAGTAGGGGTCTCTACAGGAAGTCCAAAGAACGAAGTTCAGGAGTAGGGGTCTCTACAGGAAGTCCCTCAGCCACCTTATCTTCAGGAGCAGGAGTTCCCTCAGCCACCTTATCTTCAGGAGCAGGAATTCCCTCAGCCACCTTATCTTCAGGAGAATTCACAGTTGGCAACCCTTCTTCAGTCCCTGCATGAACCTCCTCCCCAGAAGGCTCAATGGTAGGCAACTCCTGTGAGGCTTCAACTGTTCCAGCCGCCTCTTGCTCACAGGAAAGATACTCCTCTATCCCTGGCAAACGACTCTTGGCGGAATGACTTCTCGATTTATACAAGCCCCGAATCTCGCTTATGCATGAAGTATGAATATCGTATTCTGGGATTCGGGAAACTTCATCAAACCAGTCGCGAAAGTACGCAACGGTAGAACAGCCAGGCGATGAATTGGGCAAGGTAAATTGTGCATGAGTCCCTCCGACAGAGAAGAAGAACCACGCATGAGCCCCTTCCTACAGATTCCCGATTTGGGCTAATGCCGGATTGGGATTACCGACATAAAGTTGATCATATCCGAATTGTTTAGCGAATCTAGAAGGTATGTAAGGTTCAATGATACACTTCTCCCTCAAGCGGTACACCAGATAGCCTAAATACACTTCTCCCTCAAGCGGTACACCAGATAGCCTAAACGGATCATGAGAAGCCATCTGAAAGTGCCCTCCTCTAATGAAGATCATGAGAAGCCATCTGAAAGTGCCCTCCTCTAATGAAGACGAACCCTCAAAAAGGATGTCTGAAAAATTGGCATTCTCTTTAGCTCCGTCAAAATTAGGGGCACAACAGAAAATTTTATAGTTGTCTCGCCGAGACAAAAGCTGTCGAGCCCTGACTATATAAGAATTAGTCCACGTGGCCGATTCCAACCTCTGTACAAAGGGAACATAAGCATCATCGCCCTCAGATGCTCCCGTCATTAATGAAGGGCAATGCAATACAAACCAGGCCACCAAATATGTATACGACACTGGTACGCGTGGTGGAGAAGCCTGCTTAACCTTCTTCCCGGCAACCTTAACACCCGGGGCTCCGAGAAGTTCGGAGGTCAACATCCGTAAGCCGCTCTGCATGCAGCTTACCATAGCAGTGAGAAGACTTATGGGTCTCCCATGTGCTAGCAAAACAGCTGGGTATACAACCTCAGCTAATATTGCCTCTACTGGTTTTGACGGTACTACGCACTGTTTCAACCAAATCATGAAGAAGCCTGCAAGAAGGGCCGTGTCAGAAATAGGAACTCTGGCTTGGTGGTGGAAACTCTCAAAGTCAACACCAGCCTCAAAGTTATCCTCTGCAAGCTCTGTCTTGTAAGTAGCGCTAGAAGCCTTAATTCGGGTTTCAGCATCCTTAAGAGAAATGGCTGCAACACGAGATACAGCTATGTCTTTCCGGTTCAAGTTCTGAAAGAGGTATTCTGCCCAAGCGGTGTGCATGATTCCCCCTCCACACATTCCGACGACCTGAGCACATATATGAAAGTGGCACATCAACTCCCAGAAAGTAGAATAGACTTCTGGATGCGCCGCCCTCAACAGGGAAAGCTCCTCGGTGGTAGGGATGAATTCTTCGTATGGCATTTTACCCAACGGCAACCCCGATACCGCTTGCATCTCGTGTAGAGCAAAACCCAATTCCCCTATGGGTGTGAAAAATGTGCAGCTGTCCGGGTTATATTTCTCCAATATAGCGAAGAAATTGTGATGGCTTTGCACAACCCCACGTCGAGTAGCTAACACAGGAATTGTGAGACCTGATTGAGCGAGTGATTCCTTAAGCTCCTCAAGAACGAAGTCGACCATACGGGTCCACCAACCTTCCTCTCCGGAACAAACCCATCCTGGGGACCTGAACAGTTGGGTGGAGAATTCACCCTGAACCGCAATGAACTGACGAACGAAGACATTCGCTGGACGCGGCATCTCCTGAATCAGATCTTTCTTCTCGAATAAACCGGGTCTTAACCCCTTGAGTTGTCCCCCGATTTGTGTACGAGCCCTCCGACCGAATCTAAGCGACACATTCTCTTTCTCTTTAACTATGTCGAAGGTCAAACCCCGACGACAGCTCACATTCAAGAAGTAAGAGAGTGGGTACATCCTCTTCATGTTAGGGAGGAATAAGAAGCGATTATTAACTCTCCGCAGCAACTTGGAGTCCTCCACATGTATAAGTCATGTTAGGGAGGAATAAGAAGCGATTATTAACTCTCCGCAGCAACTTGGAGTCCTCCACATGTATAATATGGTCATCGATCGCTATACGATCTCCGAATATGAATGCTGGTTTGGGAAACTGAGCATGACTGATCAGGGTCTCCATGTCCAAGTCAGTGATTAAAATTCTGAGAGTAGAGCATCAGGGGAATTTAATTATATCCGTTCTCTCCGAATCAGGGAAAGTGCACAGTGGAATTCTGCCCTGAAGACTAAAGACTTCATTTGCGTCAGGACCGCCGATATATCCAAAATGATGCTCTTGTAAAAGCGGCACGTTTGGAAGAAACACTGCACAATCAAAAGCAGAGTTTAGCAGTTAGAAGCAAGCTATTGACATAAAGACAGAATCTGAAACACAAGAGATTGAGCCTCGTATCAAAAAGAATTTCTCACACGAGGGTCAAAAGTCTCATGTTAAAATTTCAAACGCGATGGTCGAGCTTCACGTCAGAAATTTTAAACGCGAGAGTCGAACCTCGTGTTGAAAAAACTTAAACGCGAGAGTCACATGGATTCCCAACTCCGCGTTTTCATCAAACAAAAACGAGTCATCTTCCTCGTTATCAAGAACCCATCTAGGGTTTTCAGAGAAACTTGCCAAGGCAAGTTATTTGGGCCAATACTTACCACGACAGGGAGGCCCCTGAGACGGTGACGGTGACGGCGATGTTCCCGCAGGAACAAGAACAGCGCCGGCGTCCTCAGCCGACGATGTTTCGGAAGCCGCTCCAGCGACTTTCTTGGGGCCAGAACCCACTCTTCGCGACGCCATCGACATGATCAGTCAGAGGGAGCGTCGTTGATCAAAGGAGACGAAGCTCGTCGGAGATTTCGTCGAGACCAAACGAGAGTTCTCGTTCTTGGAAATAGCCAAAAGTGGAAAGAGTCAAATGACTCTTGACGTGACCACTCAGGTCTATTTATAACAGCCGTCAAGCTGTTAAGATGGTTTGGGATTCTAAGAGAATCCCAACCGTTTTATATTTTAAAATGTAAATCTCTTACGTTTTTAGATAAAGTCAGTTAAGACTTTAATCTCAACGCGAAGTTCACACCCGCGTTCAAACGCTAGGCTCAGACCAGCGTTATGGAGGTTCTTAGCCTCGCATTTCGTACCTCAAACGCAAGAGTCACCTTAGCGTTGCAACTTTTCCAAATGAAGAATCTACCCTTGATACTTATCCTCTAAGTTCAGGGATTCTTTCAATAGGGTGCTTTTCAAACTCTGTATCTCCTTAACTCATCAGGTTAATATTACACCTCAGATAGTCATCACCTTAACAGAGATTGAATTTAGTTGTTACCACTACCAATATGACTGCAATTCCTCTGCGAAGGTCCATTTATCGATTCTCATCAATAGAACGATAAATTTCCAAAATCATCCAAATCCTGGTTAATTGATCAACTCTCTTCAGCAGAATATCAAATAACCAATTTACCTAATTCTTTTCGATGATAAAATCTTCCGAACCTTGTTCGAATCACAAGTGATACAATTTGTCACCTTGACGATAAAACACATAGCAGTTCTCCCAAGTAAGACGCTACAATATTCTTTCCTAACAGATGTCACGTTAAAATCACACATCTGACAAAATCAACTTATAGATTCTCATCAATAGAACGATAAGTCCTCAAAATTGCCCTGATCGCAATATTTCTTCTGTCACGTTAATATCACACCTCTGACAAAATCAACTTATCGATTCTCATCAATAGAACGATAAGTCCTCAAAATTGCCCTGATCGCAATATTTCTTCTGTCATGTTAATATCACACCTCTGACAAAATCAACTTATCGATTCTCATCAATAGAACGATAAGTCCTCAAAATTACCCTGATCGTAATATTTCTTCTGTCACGTTAATATCACACCTCTGACAAAATCAACTTATCGATTCTCATCAACAGAACGATAAGTCCTCAAAATTGCCATGATCGCAATATTCCCCCTGCCAAATTAAAAAGCTATACTTCTAGCACCTATAGACTTCTTTCAGTGTTCAAAGCAAAAATGACACAGGAAGAATTCTATCAGTCAGCCCCATTACGGGAAAATATTAATCCTTAGCAGTCTAAAATTTTCTGGAGTTATCTTAAATGATAATAAAAGAGAGTTTTCTGCATTAGAATCATTGTGGAGATCTATTCTAAGTCTGGAATACGTCTCAGGCATTTTTCGTGATTTGTTACTTAAAATCAGAACATGATAAATGCAAGAAACAATGAGAAGTCAATATCACTTTTTATTCAATAACCAAAAGAAAGTGATACAAAACAAACTTGTTCTTACCAAAAGAATATTACAAGAGTAAAGTTCATTCACGCATCAAATCAAAAGACGTGAGTTGGGCCCTAACTTTGTTTAGCTCTTCTTCGTGAGTGGTGCGCACCATAGCTTCAGCCCTTGCCCGGAGCTCTTCCTCACTGGGAATGATGATAGTTGCCACTTCATTCCTGGCTTGTTCCAAAGCTCGAGCCTGCGTGTGATATTCAAGGGTACCCGTAGCGTTCTGGGTGCTAAGGATATTAACAATATTTTCTTCGCGGGCAAATTCAGCCTTTAACCGCAGAACTTCAGCCTCAGCTTCAACAAGTCTATCACGAAGCGAGTTCATGGAAGTAGTCGAGCGTTCTAACTCTTCTCGTTTCTGAATATTACGCTCACGAAGCTCCGTGATTTGACGCTTTCTTTCAGCCAAGTCCCGTTCTATCGCCTCCCGGCGAGCCACTTCTGCAACATGAAGACTGGCCAAAGTGGACACGATCTCGGACTGAAGCTCTCTGCGTCCCAGGGCCTCAAAATGCTGCAATTGTTCTTCCAAATGAAGAATAATCTCAGCACAGCGCTCGAACCACGGAGTGTTTCCCACACTTCTGACTCCGTTTAAGCCTGCTTCTAGAAGATGTCAAAAAGAATTAAAATTGCCCTGACCACCCACAACATATTCAATCACCTTCTTGGCAAGGCTATTCAAGTACACCAAAGAGATTTGAAGGAACTCAGGTGCGCCCGCGAGACTTGAAGATGCTCCCAGAGCCATTGAAATTGGTGCAGGGGAGCCAGGCGCTGAAGCTGCAGAGGCAGTAGAAACATTCAATTGTGACGGGCTCGAGGTCAAAGCCATCATTGCCCTTGCCTGAGACGTGTTGGGCCTCGCCTCTGTTGGTGTAAGTGAGATCTTCATCAACGCGGCAGGTGAGGCAGCTGCCGAAGACGAAGCAGGCAGAGGCTGCTCTTGCGCAGGGGCTGACACCGGCACGATCTGTTGTTCCAGAGAAGGGGTCGCATCAGTAGTTTCAGACAATGCTACAGGTGAAGCAGTTGCCGTAGGTGATCCAGGTAAATGTTTCTCTTGTGGAGGAGCCGATACTTGCGCTGGATCCTGCTTTGAAGTAGTAGCAGCAGTAGTCTTTGAAGGAGGCGAACCTGCACGAAAAAAGGGTCGGAACGCGGAAAGAACATGCGGAAGAATTCGAAGAAAACTAGGATTACCGGAGATGTGAAAAGGGGTATAGCCAGATGCTTTATCGGAGGGGACTTTGGGAGCATCATCAAAAATGGTTATGTCATCCATAGAATTATGCTCTTCGTCCCTCGCATCATCACCTGGCATGTTGCCAACGTCAGCAACCTCATCATCTCTATCTTCGTTGGCTGCATCACCAGTTGAGGAGCCGTCATAATCAACTCGCTCTTCATCATCCTTAGCAGCCGAAGGTTCCGGAAGATCTGTGCCAACAGCTGGTTTATTCATAAGTCCCGTTGTAGGACTAGGAATTGAATCATTAGCTTGTGACATTAAGGCGGAAGGAGAAGGGGATGGATTCTCTTCGAGGCCCCCTGTTTCTAATACAGGAGACTTAGGAAGGTCCATCGCCGGAGCAGATTCTGCATCTGCAGCCATTAACTCATCCTCTTCATCTTGGGGAGGATGGTAAGAAGAAGCATCGCTCGATAGGGCTGGGCCATGAGAACGAAGCCCAGTTTTACGTGGCAGGCCCGCAACAGAAGATTCCTGTTGCTCTTCATCTTCAGCAGCATTGATGGCATCAGCCATCTACTTAGATTTTTGTCGGCCTTTGGGGGGAGAATCAACCAGAAGTTTCCGATGGATCTGCTTATCATAGTTGCCGGCCTCATCTGTAGAAAGTTTTCTTTTCCCCGCTGCTCTGGTCATAGGGGGATCAACCGCTTGTTGCTCTTCCACCGGAACAGGCTCAGCTCTTTGTTCCTCTTCCTGTCCAGCAGGCTGATTCTCGATGGAGAGGAACTCGTCAATCCCTCTCAAGCGGGATGTCTTGGACCCCTTTCTTGAAGCATACATATGCCTAATGTCTTTTAGGCAAGATGTATTCAGGTTGTAATTGGGAGTCTGAGAAGCGGTGAAATACCAATTACAGAAGCTTATAGAAGTGTAGGAGTTGGGTGTTTTATGGGGAAGCCTGAAGATGGCTTTGGTACAACCTGCCACAGAATAATACCAAGCCCTGGCTCCTTCATATAAATTGCCTATAATTGAGAGTTGAGGACGAGGGTTCCCGACATACAACTGATCATACCCAAATTGACGAGAAAACCTATAGGGTTGGTAGGGCTCGATGAAACAGTTGACGCCTTGCCGGAAAATCAAGTAGCCGGACCTGATGGAGAGAAGCCAGTGAAAAACACCCCCGCTCAGCTGAGTGAATCCATTAGAACCCGCTACGTCCTGATATTCGGCTCCATAAACGCCGCCCTCAAAATCAGGGAAACAGCGGAAGATATGGAAGTGGGTGTCTCGCGCCAAAATTTGGCGAATTCTAACCATATACCCCCCTTCCCATTTCGCAGATTCTAGTCATTGCAACTCATCAAAGGAGGACAGTGGAGCACGTACCAAGCCATTAGATAGGTGTATGGCAGTGGCACCCTGGGGTTGGGAGTTTTGAAAGTCTTGTGACCCCCAGACTCCACCTCTGTAACATCAACGAAGTCCGAGGCCAACTCTCGCAGTCCATGTTGCAAACAACTCACCATAGCATGAAGGAGGCTCACAGGATTCCCATGGGCCAAAAGGACAACCGGGTAGATTACCTCAACAGCGAGGGCGTCGACTGGCCTAGTAGGAACGACACAACGCTTGAGCCATAGCGGGTAGATTACCTCAACAGCGAGGGCGTCGACTGGCCTAGTAGGAACGACACAACGCTTGAGCCATAGCATCAAGAACCCAGCTAATAGCGCTGTGTCGGAAATTGGAATCAGAGCCTGATAGTGGAAGCTTTCAAACTCTGTATGAACCGGGAAAACATCTTCCATGGCCTCATTTGTATAGTGGGAGGTAGCATTATCGATTCGGGCTTGAACTTCCTCCAAAGTGCTTGCAGATAGTCTGATCATTGAGGCTCCTTTATTAGTCAAATTCTGGAATAAATATTCCGCCCAAGATACTTGTTTAATGCCGCTTCCTCGAGCCCCCGTCAGCTGCATGCAAATGTGGAAGTGACACATGACTTCCCAAAGAGTGGAGTATATTTCGGGGTTAGTCTTCTTCAAAATTTTAAGTTATGCTGATCCCGGAACAAACTCTTCGTACGACAAATCCCCAAGAATAAGACCCAAGACTTTATGCATCTCGTGAAGAGCGAAACCTAACTCCCCCACGGGGGTGAAGAAAGTACAAGTCTCGGGGTTATACTTCTCCAATATGGAGAAGAAATGAAAGTGGCTCTGAACAATCCCGAACTTAGTAGCCCGCACGGGAATCTGCAATCTAGGTCGGGCAAGAGGGGTTTCCAATTCATCTAAAATGAACTTGGTCATCCGGGTCCACCACCCTGTCACTGGAGAATGAACCCAGCCAGGAGTTCTGAATCCTTGCACGGGGAATTCTCCTTTCTTCGCCACAAACCTCTTGACAAAGGTATTTGCCGGGCTGGCCACCTCGCCAAGGGGATACTCCTTAGCAAATAAACCTAGCCGCAAAGCTATCACCTGCCTGTTGTAACCGAGTGTGCGGACCCCGTGAAAAGTCAGAGTTCCGAGAATAACCCCATCCTGATCCTTAACCAGGGGCCAATCCATACGATGTGGAATGGAAGCACACTAGAAATAAGAAAGTGGGTACATCGTTTCCATATTAGGCAAGAAAAGGTTGCGGTCCCTAACTTTCCGTAACCACTTGTAGTCCCCGTCGTAAGCAGCATCTGCCTCGAAGTCAACAAAATCCCCGAAGAGGAATCCAGTTTTGACTATTGGCTTACGGCTCGAGTTTTCAAATTGAGCATCCGTAACCAACATCCTAAGGGTCTCGGGAGAAGCTTGGGTGATCAGTTCCACGCGACTCTTTTCCTTAATTCGGAAAACGGGGAGTTCTTGGCGTAGGTTGAATGTCATGTTCATATCCACACCACCTTCATGTCCAAAATGGTGGCGAAAAGGAAGAGGTTGACTGGTATGACGCACTGCAAAATAAAGAAAAATTTAGAAAAATTTAGACAAGGCAAATACAAAGCCCAGACGCGAAGGTCGACTCCCGCGTCAGATAAGCTAGGACGCGAATGTCAAACCTAGCGTCAAAAAAATCTCAGACGCGAAGGTCGAGTCTCACGTCAGAGAGTTCAGACGCGTAGGTTGACCCTCGCGTTAAGAATCTGAGACGCGGAGGTCGAACCCCTCGTCAAAAAGATTAAATGACAGAGTCCAGCCCCGTGTTATCGAAACGAGTTTCCTCGTTGATCCAGAGATCGAAACCTGCTGAAGCAAGTTTAAGGACCACGAAGGCCGTACTCACCACCGATCAAAGGGAGTTGAGGCGGCACGTCCACCTGAGCAGCAGCGCTGCCGGCCGGCGCAGACGGCGCCGACCCTTGAGCCGCGATGACGTCGGGCTTGGAAGAGCGAGAATCGATCTATTTCTTGGGTGCCATGGAATCTTGTCGGAGGAGATGAATAGTTTTTCGCCGGAGAGAACGAAAGTTTTTCATTGGAATTTCAAGAAGAGTCGGGTGACTCTTAATTTGACCTCCAGCGGTCTATTTATAGACAACTGTGAGCTGTCAAATCGTAACGGACGAGATTCGAGGCCAGAATCCCGCCTAAAACTCGACCCTCACGTTTTAGGTTGGCTGAAATTCCAAAACGCTGAGCTCACCCACGCGTTCCAATTCTTAAGTGCAGAAGTTATGTGGACAACTATAATAACAACTTCTTGACTACCAAGGCTATCACAATCATTAAGGCGACCAAAGTCGGGGAGAAACAGGCGACTCCGTTGGGGAGTCTATTGGAGGAGCACAGATAGATTATAGTCAACAACATTGAAATCATCTGGCTCAATCAGACGGAGTGAGCAATCGATCCACTAAATTTTGGGATCCAAAGTATTCCGAAAATTCGTCCCAGTCAACCGCGAACTTTCGAAAACTTTGGAGGGGTTTCTGTAGGCTGTCTAAAAATCACAATGGATAGCTGATCCCTATCAAGCTCCGATAATGAAAGTCACAATCAGACGACTTTCTAATCACTGTATTCGCAATTCTACAATCGCTACAAACACGGCCTCATTTCTGAGATGATTGATCTTAAAGGTTGCGACAACAACATGACTAATATTATATTAACAACTATTAGAGATACTGATGAGCAGTGTAATGATTTCAGAAATAAAAGGGTGGACGTAGTTGGTGAGTTGCTTGGTAGAGAGCTGTGGGCAAATATTCATCTAAAAACACTATGGATGTTGATTCCCGTCAAACTACAACAACAAAAGCTACAATCAAATAGCTTTCACGCCGATAATCTAAAGCTGCAAATGGAGGACTTTTCACATAGATCGAGAAGAGTTACAATTCAACGACACCTCCGATAACTAAAGCTGCAAATGGAGGACTTTTCACATAGATCGAGAAGAGTTACAATTCAACGACACCTCCGATAACTGATGAAAACTCTATTCAGCAGTCTTCATAATCTACAGTGAAGGTTACAATCGGACGACTTTCACACTCCACAATAACTAAAACTAGGATTACTGAACAACGGTCCTTGCAACGCTTTACAGAAGAAGTTACAAGTCAACTAGCTCCTTCTAAAACACGGATGTCATCCCCGCGTTAAAATTCTGGAAGTGCAGGCGACCCCCGCATTTCCAAGCACAAGCTAAACGTGAGCGACCCTCGCGTTCGTAGGGGTTCAACCAACACCGACCCCCGCGTTCCCAAACTACAACAAACCAAAACGCGAGCGACCCTCATGTTCAATGATGTTCAGCCAACACCCAACCCCGCGTCTCAATTCTAAGAGGCGACGTTGGGTTCTGAACGCCAGATTGGGCGTTTGACTCATTCAAATATGAGTCGAACAGTTCTAGAACTGTTTCCCCACGATCTGAGGAAATCACGCCCACTTAGGAGCGGATTTAGAGGGCAGTTACAACCTCTTATCCACCTATAAAAACTCAACAAACTCAACTGAGTTAAAGGCGGGCTGGCTTTTTGGTACGAAGAAGCAGTAAGTTAGTTCTTCAGGATCTCAACCACTCAGGTTCGGTGATTCAACAGCAGCAGCAGTAAAAATCCTTAGAGATAGGATTTTTGAATCAAATCCAGAAGATCAAAACCGAAGGGATTCTTCAATAACAGAAAATCTGCTTGGTCATTAACCGAATTTTCGGTTCTAACAACTCTATTCACAGAGTTCTAACTCGTTCAGAGTTCTTAAACTCATTCAGAGTTACTCATCAATCCATACGACGTGGAATGGAAGAACACTAGAAATAAGAAAGTGGGGACATCCTTTCCATATTAGGCAAGAAAAGGTTGCGGTCCCTAACTTTCCGTAACCACTTGTAGTCCCCGTCGTAAGCAGCATCCGCCTCGAAGTCAACAAAATCCCCGAAGATGAATCCAGGTTTGACTATTGGCTTACGGCTCGAGTTTTCAAATCGAGCATCCGTAACCAACATCCTAAGGGTCTCGGGAGAAGCTTGGGTGATCAGTTCCACGCGACTCTTTTCCTTGATTCGGAAAACGGGGAGTTCTTGGCGTAGGTTGAATGTCATGTTCATATCCACACCAC